ATATATATATATATATATATATATATATATATATACATACATATACATATATACATACATATACATATATACATTTATTTATATATATATATATACATATATATATATATATACATATATATATATATGTATGTATATATATATATATATATATGTATGTATATATATGAAACCCCTGAGTTATTTGATTTAGTGATCGGATTTATAAGTCCGTGTCTGAGAGAGAGAGAGAGCTCCGAGGGAAGTGGCGCAGGTGAAGGGAGACGACGGCCAATGGCCACCATCCGCGCCCGCGGATGACACGGGCCCTCCCATGGCTCCCGTCGCGCGGCATCTCCGAATGGCGGGGTTTCGCGCTACATCGCTTTCGGTCGAAACGCATCCCCCTACTCCCCGCTCGTCCCGTCACTGGGTTCCCAGCCCTTCTCCCCCCCGCGACGGCCACATCCTCTTCCGCTCCTCCATCGTCGTCGTCGAGCGTCTTCTCTTCTCCTCCTCCTTCCTACTTCCCAGAAGAGGAAGTTCGATGCGAGCCAATCCAAAATGGTCCGGATACCTTGCCCTGGATCCCTGCTTATGCATTTTTTGTTTCTTTGGTTTACGTTATCGGAAGTGCCTCCGTTCTTGATGTTGTTCTCTTGATCTTGAATGTATTTTCAAGATTTTGAATTAAAGAAGGGTGACATATATCATGTCATGAGGGAAATTTAATTTTGAGCTGACTTCAAAATTAAATCTACTACTTATTACTCATTGGGAAGATCACAACGTGCCCTACATATCATAACACAAATTCACAGTAAAAATTGCTGAAAGCTATGAAGCCCAATACTTCAGAGTTCTTGCGGTGCTGGTTTTGTGTACCAACGGGATTTTAATGTGCTACAAATATAATTGTCCTTGTTGTTTGTGTTTGCGTGTGCCCGCATGGGCTCGGGAGCAAGTTTGCTCGACCGAGGTGCAAGTCTCTTGTAGGCTCGTAAGGAATTGTCTGCTTTGGACGATGGGTGTACCCGCACGATTTTGTCCATTCGGAGCATGTGATCTCCAAAAGGCGCCTCTGAGGGTAAGGGAGACTCGACGGATTTATGAGCCCTTGGTTCCCATACTCCTCAACTAATGTGGGACTAAATGACCTTATCAAAATATTTGTTATTTAGATGATTGATCATTATTAAGTTAGATATATGGTGGTTATAAATTATCCAGATTGAGCGTAGCATACCTTTATACATAGATTTATAAAAGAATACTTTTTTATTAAATTTTGTGTCTCCTACTCTTGTGAGATTTTTCAAGTCGTTGAGTTTATGTATGTGTTTGTGTCCATGCTTCATAGGCTTCAAGTTTTAATCGTGAATTAGAAACTATTGAGGCTTGAAATTTTAGGAAACTTTTGCTGGTTTCAATACAATAAGCTAAAGACGAGAATAACTAACTGAAAGTATATAATTGTTCTGTTAACTTTTGTTGGAAACATAAGAACTCAAGAAGAATTGTAGCTAAATATTGCATTAATGCACTTTTGTGTGTAAAACTTGATTGTATCAATGTTCTCCACTTGGTATTATGGGAAAGATAGGTGGAATTTGTTTGTATCGGAGATCTGATTAAGCTAATAGGGGTTCCACAGTTTCGCAAGATATTGCTGGACATGGGTGTGATTTATATAATGATTTGTGAATCTTTATTCTAGGTTATTAATAAACTCATAAACAACAATAACAATCTGTCATGTGCCATCTTTCTGGGTTGGCTACATTGATTTTTTTCACACCATTGTGAATGTATTGTTTAATTTATGTCATTAAAGTATTTTCATGTTGGGGAAAGAAGTTGCTAGTGCACTATTTTTTTTCCTAAACTGGGAACATGATTACAATTTACCTTTTTTAATTATTGCAGGGAACACCAGTTAATATAATTATAGGTTCTCTTGTATGGGTTGAAGATCCAGCAGTAGCTTGGATTGATGGACATGTCGCTAAGATTACTGGTCAAAATGCTGAGGTTCAAACTTCTAATGGGAAAACGGTAAATTGATTGCTACTGCTTAACTCCAGTTCCATTTAAGCATTATGATTAGTAGATAAATAGACCTAGATATATGGCATTAAGCTGATGAGATTCCATATCAGCTGATACTTTGGTAATCTGTTTCTACACAGATAAGCGTATCGCTGAACATAATTGATGTCGAGTTTGAACATGGATGATTCATTTACCCACAAACTTCTGTAAACAACATGACTCATTCATTCTTCCTGACAAACTTCATTAACTTACGGAAGTTCCAAACCAAATCAATGCAGTTTCATATTCATACTTGTGAGGTTATCTATTTTATATTTTGTACCTAGTTTCCTCCTTTCTTATTATTTTGGGAATGGACTTGAAGGCAGTTCTCGTTCCACCTCTACAATGGATGCTTTGAATCTAAAAATGACTTATCAGTAAACTTTAATGTTACTACTTTTGCCCCTTTGGGGTTCCCTGTAAGTTCCACTATTAAGAATGGAGGGAGATGATGTGATGAAACATGTATTAGATTTGATCTGAATGTTTGACTTCACAACTCATCAAACTTAACCCCTACAGTGGTGACCACAGTCGAGAAATATCCAGTCTTATTCTTGGGGAATTGGTTTAACCAAGGTTCGTCGTACCGTACTGTACCGGCGTTTCAACCCGGGCTCGGTACGGTACGGTATCGGTGTACCGAGCGGTACATCAGGGCGTACCGAGCGGTTCACCCTGGTGTACCGAACAATTTTATACTTTTTCATACTGTAGCAGTGCTACAGTATAGTACTGTAGCACTGTAGCGGTACCGGGCAGTCCGTGTATCGGTAACCTGTCGGACCGGTACGT